ATATATAAATAAATTCTAGTGGAAGTTTTACATCTTAAAACACTTCAGTCTTGTTTCTATGACAGATTGTATATTGTTATTTGCAGTGCAGTTATAAGGCTATCTTTGGAAATAAATTTAAAAACTTTTTGACATGAGGACACTTTAAATATAAGGAAACCATCTTGAAGTTATGTAAACCAATTTGTAGATGATAGAAAAATATCACAAATGGAGTTTAAAAATATAATAAACTGGGAAAATATTCTCAATGATAGTCCTGATTTATTTTACATACAAAGACAGTTTATGAATCATTAAAAAAGATGCCAAAGGAAACAAGCCTGCATTTCATAGATAGACAAAACAAATACAAGTGGCAAATAAACTGGAAAAACTGCTAAGTAAAACTAAAACCTGAAAAATTTGTTTAATCTTACTCATTGAAGTAAAATAAGACTTTTACCTACCCAAGAACAAAAATGAAGTTTAGTAATGTTTTGAGTGGATGGTCCTTATACTCACATGGTTGGTTGGTTTGTAGCTTTTGAGCATTTGAGAAAACTTCATTCATTTCAAACATACAGTCTTTAAATTCGATAATATAGTGGGATTTTCCTTTAGAAAGAGCCTCATGTTCAAATGATATATGTGTCCTAGATAAATTCTTAAAGTTTAAGTTTCAGAAAAACTTAATCCAATTTTATTTCTTCAACATATGTGTATAGATTGGTGTAGGCCTAGTAAACTTGCTACAATGATAGTGAAATTTCTATAGTTTCTTTCCTGTTTACCTTGGAGTTTTTTGGTTGGGTGTTGGTTTTCCTTCGTGGTAAAACGATCTCAATAAAGTGAATGGGTTTGTTTTTAGCTTTAAACTTAGGTGTTTTTTTTTTAAATAAAATTTTTCTTTTATACTGGTTTACTTTAAAGTTCATATGCATTATTTTTTACACTGGATCTTTCCCATTTCTTTTACCCCCTCCGCTATCAAATTGTGCTCTATGATTACCACCCTTTACTCCTCTGCTCCTGCCCAGCCCCCTTGGATCCTCATACACATTTTATTGGTTATTTTTCTATTTCTACAATAATGGTATTATAAAGTATTTGTCCTTATGGGACTGAGTTCACTTAGTTCTCCAGTCCCTCTTAAGTTAGGTAGTGATTTTCAAAAACATTGCTCCTTTTTGTAAATTACTACCTAACTTGGGAGGGACTGGAGAACATTATGCTAAGTGAACTAACTTAAGTCCCATAAGGACAAATACTATATAAGACCATTATTGTAGAATGAGTATGAGGATCCAAGGGGGGTTATAGGGGAAAGGAGGGGGGATGGTTAATCATAGGGTCGCACAGTTTGATGGCTCGAGGGGGAGGTGAGGGAAATGGGAAAGATCTGGTGTGAAAAACAATGTATACAAACATTGTAAATAAACCAGTATAAAATAAAATTTAAAAAACTCACTGCTACTGGAGGCTGCACAGTATTCCATCATGTGAGTGTACCATAATTAGATTAGTGTTACCACTTAAAAAGACTGATTTACACTTTCAAAAGGGAACTCTGGTGGCCTAGTGGTTATGGAGTTGCATTGCTACTCAAAAGCAAGTTGTTCAAATCCACCAGCTGCTCCGAGGGAGAAAGATGGGCAGTCTTCTCACATGTGATTTACAACCTCTAAAATATGCTGGAGAGTCACTTGATGGTGTTGAGGTGTAAAATTTCAAAAAGTTATCTCTTCTGGTAATTAAGATCTTCCCTCAAGTTGTTTATATTGCTGTGTTACCTGTCTGAATTGCCTGCCCTTTGCTTCACATTATTCAGCATCTCAAATATGAGGCTCAGTGTCAAGAAGACAAAGATTCTCACCACTGGACCAATTGGTAGCATCAGGATGGATGACGAAGAGATTGAGATTGTTTACAGCTTCAGTTTGCTCGGCTCCACGGTCAACACTCATGTCAACACTCTTGGCACCAGCAGCCAGGAAATCAAAAAACGTATTGCGATGGGAAAGTCTGAGGTTAGGGACCTCTCTGAAGTACTCAAGAGGAACGGTGTCTCTCTGGAGACTAAGGTGCACCTGATACAGGCCATGGTCTTTGCAATCACTTGTTATGCATCATAGAGCTGGACAATGACTAGGGAGGACAGAAGGAGAATTGACGCCTTTGAGCTGTGGTGCTGGAGAAGAGTATTGAATGTACCATGGACTGCCAAGAAAACAAACAGATTCATCGTAGAGAGGATTAAACCAGGCTGCTCCTTGGAGGCAAGGATTCTGGGGCTTCATCTGACATACTTTGGACATGTTGTAAGGAGAGACAGGTCTTTGGAGAGGGATATATCATGCTGGGTAGAGTAGAGGGACAGCACAGGAGGGGAAGACCCTCTATGAGGTGGATTGATTGAGTGACTGGGGTAATAGGGATGGGTGCGTCAGAGGCAATGCAATTGGCACAGGATAGAGCAGGGTTTAGAGCTGTTGTACATAGGGTCGCTATGAGTCGCAAATGACTCCACAGCACATAACAACAAGAACAAATATCTTCTGAGATCTTTGCTGACCCACCTAATCTACATTCCTGTCCAAACTCTTATCTCTCCAACAAATGAATGCTTCATACTGTAAGATGCTTCTGAAACCTCAAGTAGGTAGACTAGAACCAACTGTAAAAGAACTTATTGAGTAAATACAATATTTTATATTGTCATAGATAAGAGCTTATAAAATATGTTGACATTAATGAAATAAGCAAAAAAGTTTAAAATAAAAACCAAAGTAGCAGTTTTTCCAGAGTTGTTTCATTTAGTAACTATTCTGTGGAAAAGCTAAGTATTATATGTATTATATTACCACTCACTCTTTAAATTTTACTTTAAGCTTTACTCATAGCTTGTTGCTTTATGATTTTGAGAGTAAAACTAAGATACATGTAGAAGATAATTTTGGAATTGGATTGGGTGTGAATCTCAGCTCTGTCATTTATACAGTCTTACAACCTTGGATAAGTTAATAACCTTAACTTGAGTTTCTTCAATAAATGAAAGTAATAGGTCATCTAGTATTAGAGTTAAATGAAATAATGTATATAAAACTCCTGGCACAATGCCTAGAACTCAGTAAAAATTGTATTTCTCTTTTGTTATTTCTAGACTCTTCATAATTCTGTTGTCCAATAAATGCAGATATTATTCTGGACCGAAAATTGTAGAATGAATTAGTACTGTGTTTTATTCAAAGTTATCGCCCATTAAAATAATTTCTTTATATTTTGTTGCAGCAGTACTGAAAGTTTGAAAGATCGTAATCGTGTGTGCTCTTAACAGAAGAAAAATGGAGGTATTCCAGGGACTTCGTAAGCCATCAGCCCGTTTGGAATGCGACCATTGCAATTTCAGGGGCACAGATTATGAAAATGTACAAATCCATATGGGTACCATCCATCCAGAATTTTGTGATGAAATGGATGCTGGTGGGTTAGGTAAGATGATATTTTACCAGAAAAGCGCAAAGCTGTTTCACTGCCATAAGTGCTTTTTCACCAGCAAGATGTACTCTAATGTATATTATCATATCACAGCCAAACATGCAGCCCCAGAGAAATGGAATGATAAACCAAAAAATCAGTTAAACAAAGAAATAGATCCTGTGAAAAGTACTCTGCCTGACCAACAGAAAATATCCTCTAATTCAGTGGAACTGAGATCTACACCTGCCCTTTGTATAGAAACTCAGAAACTTGGTCCAGAATCACCAAAACCTACTCTTCTTACTCCTGTGGAGCCTCAGAAACCTGGCCTTGTTTCTTCTGAGCCACAGACACCTCTTTCTTCTCCTGAGCCTCCAAAACCTGCCTCTGTTTCTTCTGAACTTCCTGTTGTTTCTGAGACTCCGAAACCTGTCCCTGTTCCTTCTCCAGAACCTCAGAAACATGTCCCGGTGTCTGCTGAACCTGTAAAGACTACTTTTGTTAATACCAAACCCCAGAAGCATTCTCATTTCCCAGAAACATCGGGGCCACCTTTAACCTCATCTCCGGAGTCACCAGTTCTCCCTGCTTCCCCTGAACCTTGGAGGCCATCCCCTACTGCGTCTCCAGAATCTCGGAAATCAACCAGGACTGTGTCCCCTGAACCCAGGAAGCCATCTCCATCTGAGTCTCCTGAATCTTGGAAGTCATTCCCTGCTGTCTCCTCAGAGCCTAGGAGACCAGCCCAAGCTGTGTCACCAGGATCTTGGAAAGCAGGACCACCTGGATCTCCTAGACCTTGGAAATCTAGTCCGTCAGCATCATCAGGACCTTGGAAACCAGCTAAACCTGCTCCATCTGTGTCTCCTGGACCTTGGAAACCAATTCCTTCCATCTCTTCTGGACCTTGGAAGCCAACTCCATCTATGTCCCCTTCATCCTGGAAATCATCATCTGTGTCACCTGGTTCCTGGAAGTCTCCTCCTGCTTCTCCTGAATCATGGAAATCTGGCCCACCAGAACTGCGGAAGACGGCTCCCACGTTGTCACCTGAACATTGGAAAGCAGTTCCCCCAATGTCTTCTGAGCTTCGTAAAGCAGCACCTCCTTTGTCCCCTGAGATTCGGAAACCAGGCCCTCCACTATCCCCAGAGATCCGTAGCCCAGCAGGATCTCCAGAACTCCGAAAACCTTCAGGGTCACCAGAACTTTGGAAAATTTCTTCTGATCAACGAAAAACTCCTCCTGCCTCTCTTGATTTTCCTGAATCCCAGAAAAGTTCCCGAGGTGGTTCGCCTGATCTCTGGAAGTCTTCCTTTTTTATTGAGCCTCAGAAACCTGTTTTCCCTGAAAACCGCAAAGCGGGTCCTTCTGGGCCATCTGAATCCCCTAAAGCGGCTTCAGAGATTTGGAAGCCGGTCCTTTCTATGGACTCTGAGCCCCGGAAACCAGCCTTTTTTTCTGAGCCCACCAAAACAGCCCCAACTGCTGCTCCTGAACCACGAAAACGTGCTCTTTTTCCAGAGCCCAGGAAGCATGCTCTTTTCCCTGAACTTCCTAAACCTGCTCTGTTCTCAGAATCTCCGAAGGCACTTGAGCTTGGGGATGAACTGCAGGTGGACGATATAGAAGATAAAAAGTGTGATGTTTTGCCTCAGGAAGAACTCCTGAGTACACCCAAAAAACTTTTAGAGGACACTTTATTTTCTTGCTCAAAGAAGCTCAAGAAGGATAACCAAGAGAACTCGGATACTGAGCTTAGTAGTAGTGAGTATATGAAGACAGATTTGGATGCCATAGATCTTAAAGGCCAGGAGTCGAGCAGTGATCAAGAGCAGGTTGATGTGGAATCTATTGATTTTAGTAAAGAGAACAAAATGGACATGAGTGGTTCAGAGCAGTCAAAAAATGTATTGCAATTTAATGAAGAAAAAGAGGCTTTTATCTCAGAAGAGGAGATAGCAAAATACATGAAGCGTGGAAAAGGAAAGTATTACTGTAAAATTTGTTGCTGTCGTGCTATGAAAAAAGGTGCTGTTTTGCATCATTTGGTTAATAAGCATAATGTTCACAGTCCTTACAAATGTACAATTTGTGGAAAGGCTTTCCTTTTGGAATCTCTCCTAAAAAATCATGTTGCTGCCCATGGGCAGAGTTTACTTAAATGTCCACGTTGTAATTTTGAATCCAATTTCCCAAGAGGCTTTAAAAAACATTTAACTCACTGTCAAAGCCGGCATAACGAGGAAGCAAATAAAAAGCTGATGGAAGCTGTTGAACCCCCCCTGGAGGAGCCACAGATTTAATTATTAAGTGTGATGTGCTTACATGTATATCACAAGCAGGAAGATGTTTGTTAAAACCGTGCTTTGAAAATAGAGCTGATTAGATAACCTAGTTAGATCAGTTAGATGTTGATATGTGTGGTTGTACTGTGTTAAAATTGTCTTGACAGTGTTACAGAGAATACTTATTTGGTTATTTTTTTATGGTCTGTTTTTGTAGTTGTCTTGCAAATCAATAAATTCTTTATAATCCAGATGGAGGAAAGTTTCTCATTTCTTAAAAATGTATTTGGATAACAATATGAAGAGGTAAGCATTCCATTTTAACAATCATAAGCAAGTTGTACTCTTGAAAGCATCAATAGATCTTTTTGCATCTAATTTTTGGACAGTAGAGATTATTAGAATGTTTATGATCAGGCTCTGAAAGGTAATTTTAGAGAAACTTTGCTCCCTGAAAAGTATTTTTAGATCCCTAAAGTTACTTTGCTCAGTTTCTATTTGAGCATGTAAAATTAGTTATTTGTAAGTCTTAAATAGTTCTAGATGTTTGTTAGCTTTTGTTTCTTGGGAAATTGGAGGGAAAATAGTTTGTAGATGCCTTTTGGAGGGCAGAACTTTAAGAAATAAAATGACTATCAAACTAAGAGGAAGGTTACTATGATACTGAGTTTCTCTTTCTCTTAGTTGTAAAATAGATTTTTCCCACTAGAGTCTTCCATTTGGTATTTTATTCCAAGATTTGGCCCCTTATGTCCCTGCCAGCTCATGGCAATAAATATGTTTAATTGCCAAATGTGCTAGAGCTTTTACTTCCTACACCTGGAGATGATCATCTTTTGGGTCTTAAGATTTGGGGAATGAATAGGAACTGAAAGTCTTCCATATTCACAATAGAAAATTTTATAAATAGGTCTTTTGTTGGAAAAAGAAAGAACTTTTATATTTTTTTTACACTTGAGTTATTTATGCCTCCCATCAGATATTTTAAGTGAGGCTTTGGTGCCAGCAAAGTTTATTTAAAGTACTTTTCATTGTATGATAGCTAACTTCCATTCTTTACATCTTTCCATTTGTTTTCAACATGCTAGTTTTCATACCTGAGAACAGCATTTTTCCTAAGCTGTGTTTTCTCCAAGGGGAAAGAAAATGCTGTGGTCATGTAAATTAAGAAAGCACTGTATACTCCAGAGCTCTGGTAGTAAGTTGTTGTTATGAGCCAACAACCTAGCTGACCCTCAGATTTTCATAAGTTGTAAATCATATAGAAAGGATTGCCCATCTTTCTCCTGCAGAGTGGTGGATTTGAACTGCCTGTTCTGGGGTTGACAGTGGAATTTCTTCACTCAGTAGGCTCTGATAGTATAGCACATTACATATTGGACTGCCAGTTGACATACCTGTGATTAAACTGCTTCAAGGAAAAAAGATCCAGTCGTCATCTGTAAAGATTTACAGCCTCTGAAACCAGTGGTGATTACTTGAAGTCAGAATTAACTTGATTGGAGTGGGTTTGGGTTTTTTTTATTTGATATACTTAATATACCAGGCAAATATCTCATTCGTGTACATTAAATGATTAAAGAGTTATGAAAAGTTTAGATTATGGTTCTTAGCTCTGACAGTAATTAAGATTGGGTTCTTGGTGAGTACCTGCTGTTTTAATTATCCCTTCATGGGCGCTTAGAGAATGAGCTACTTCTAGGCAATGATGCCAACATGTAGAACAAGTAAGGCAACTTGGAAATACGGCTTTGTCTGACTTGAAAGAGAAACAAGCATTTATAGCACATAGAAACTGTCATGAATCTTGTATTCTCAAATTGACTTGTAACACTTTTTGATACAACTTTATTCTTTTGGTGTAAGTTCCATGTAATTAATCCTTCCCTGATTTTCATGCACCATGAGACTGCTTAGACTACAGTACTTGCATCTCACTTTTACTACATGTGGATGTTTCCATACACCATAAAATGGGCACTCCTGTGTCAAAGTAAGTGGTGATGTGCATGTATTTTGACCTTTTAAGGCCTTAAATGGTAGAACACTTGTTTCATGTTTTATGGTTTCTTTTTTTTTCTTCTATATTTTATTAATTTT